CCCCCCAAACTCCTTAGAGACCCTCCGAGAAAGAGGAGGGGGTGGTGGACTCCCACCTGAGAGGAGTCCTGGAGTGCAGCAAGCACTGCAGAGAGGAGCTAAGAAGCTCATGGCCTCCTGAGAGCTACGCCAGGACGGCCAAAGGAATGTGTGTGTGGGGTGACCTTGGCCCCCCTTGCTGCAGCTTCAGAGAAGCTGGCAGCCATCTTTGAGTCAGAGCAGGGGAGCTCTGCACAGGGGCTTGATTTCCCCTGAGGATATCAGACCGTCGCGAAGACCCCGGTGCTTCGTGATATGACCGTGGTGGAGCAACCTTGTGTGGGGTAACACAGTCCATGGAAAGACCCTTCGTTTGGCGTCGAGGGGCCGAGAGAGAGGCTTGGAGGCCTCCCTCGTGTGCATTGGCAAGGATCCAGCTGCAACTGCTTCATGAAAGACACAGAGAGCCTGCTGCCTAGAGAGACCTGCTGCTGAGAGACTGGAAGGGGTCTTTTCTTCTTCTTCTCTCCTGGACTTTTATTTGGAGGGAGAAGAGATTTGGCCCATTGTAAATATTATTGTAATGGTAGAGATAGAAATAGAGTTAAGATTATATGTAATGTATTATACTATTTATTTGTTGTACAGTCCTGTAATATATTCTTTTCCCCCCATATTGAGTCTTGTGTTTTTGTCTGGAAAACCCATCTCACATGGGGTTGAGATGTGGGAGGGGGGCTAGGAATCAGGAATTGGATTTTGAGGCTGCTCAAACCATGACACTAAAGAATTAGCTTTATCACTTATTATTTTTTTAATATTGGATCAGTATTAAAGCAGCAGGAAGAATAAATCTTATAGGACTTGAAGTAGTTTACAGAATATCTATTTTGGATTCAAATCTCCAGCCTCGACTCAACCCTTAAATTCACTAATTATGTGTATCATTTCTTACATGGTTTTAGCTCTTCTTTTTTTTGTCTTAATTCCTTGGAATTCTTTTTGGGATACCTTGGATCATCTCTCTGGTTGTGACTTGCTGAATGAGATGTGCTAGATCTTCCTTACACTTTCTTTGAAAGAGAGCAAATTTTTACCCTGCCAGATACCTTAGTTTTCATCAAAAAATACATTAAGGTTGCAAACGTACAATATGAATCCCAAAAACTTTTAGTCAATGTACCTTTTCTTTTGTCCATATTCAAATAGCTCGGGCACTACAAATTTAGTCCATCTTTCACTGGAAACATCAGCACTTTATTTGCTGTCTGACAATGCTGAGAAGTATATAAGGAATCACATAAAGAAATTTGCAGGGAAGATCCTATTTTCCATAGATACTCACAGAATTGCAGAATGGAAGAGACTGAAAAGGATCTTTGGAGGTCATTTTAGTAACGTACAATCAAAAAATATGTACAGAAGCAATTGAATCTTCTATGGGGTTAACAATTTACAGAATATAATTGTTTGTCCAGACTGTCTTTGTCTGATGTTGTTTTATATTTCTCATGTCTCTTTGGCTGGTAAAACAGGAAATATCTCACTAGCACATATAGTATCTCATTTCACTTCCATTTGCAAACACACATTGAAGCAGACTGACTGTTCAAACATGCTCACTCACGCAGGCAAGCACCTGGCTCACTTAGGAGATTTTTTTTCTTCTTGTGGTGTTTATTTTCTCCTGCAGAACATAGCTTTCTGCAGAACGTATCTTTCTTTTTCATTCATGCAGTAGGCAACTGGCTGCTGATTGTTTTCTTCAAACCTTTATCACAAGCAACAGTTGTATATGGGGTTTCATTTTCCATTTTCTGAGTCTCAGAACATGGACTGGTCTGTGCCAGTGTCTCACTTTCATATATGAGGAACATTCTTCCATATTTCTGCTGGAACCCGAAATAACATTGTGGTTCTGTTACAACCTACAGGACAAGAACCAAAATAGGTGTTATATGTTTGAGAATTTATGAAGCCTGTAGGTTTCAGAAGTCTGTGGCTAAAGGGAACATACTGTTTTTAAAGAAAGAAAGACCCTGAAAACAAGGAATCAGCAGTCTCTCATCATTTCTTTCTTGTTCCCAGCTCATGCATTTATTACTGAAATTAGTTTGCAAGAAAACCTCATTAAGTCTCTTTTCCTTAATAAGGAGAAAGCCTGTAGGGACAGGAATCGTGCTTTTCAATAGAAAACATTTAGTTTCAATAATGAATGTTAGCAGCATCAGGACACACAATAACACAAGTGATATTTTAAATGAAACAACAAAATCAGCTTGGGACAGAGGTTGATTAAAGGAGATCCTCAGTCCAGACAACATATTTTGGAAGTCAGAATTTTTCTGAATTTTAAAGATGGATTTTTTGGAGGAAAATCTAAAGTGCATGATCTATTTATCTTTTTGTATCATTTGTTCTTTCCCTTGATATTATCAAGTAGCTGAATTGCAGAAAGTCCTAATTAGCACTGTGGTCATTCTTTTAGAACAAACAATTCTGTTCATAGCTGTAAATTTGACAGGAAAAATTTGAGAAAAGACCTTAAACATCAGTTTGAATTTGACAATTTCAGCATGGAAGCTACATATACCAGTTGATGTGAGTGTAAAGTTGTTGTTTGTGTAGCTTTTAAATAAAGATCACAGGAAGCTTGAGCTGAAGAGAGATCTCAGTCACGTTTCTTACAACTTGTAATCTGAAATCTTATCCAAATCTTTTTTATATTACCTTGGCAGAAACAGCACAACTTTATTATCTAATGCTATTTTGTACAATTTACTTACAAAAAATATTTACTGCCATCATTAAGAAATCAAGACAAAAGAGGAAGTATTATTGTAGATGCACTGGAAAACAGAATCCATAAAAGTATTTAATGTTTGAGAGACATTGGTTGCATGTGCAGAAAGCTCTGAGACTAAAGACCTACTGTCACTTAAATGTAATGGCTGATTTTCTGTCCTGCATCCTTCCCTAGGACACACATCTGTCTTGTTTCTGTCATTAAATGTGTGTGAATGTTCCATGTGGAATGTATTCTAGAAGGCAGTTGGGGCATTTAGTATGCACTCATGGACAATATGCACACAGATACAGAATGTAGGGTAGGCCAGGGAGAGTGCCTGGTCCTTGTGCAAGTGTTCGGTACCCGACACGTTACCTTCCTATTGTTTAGGAATGTCCTTTTTCATGGCACCATGGCAGTGCAGCCCAGGGTGCGCTAGGACATGGATATTAAGGAGCAGTCACTGAATTCCCACGTCTCAGGGACTGTAATTGCTGTACTAGCAAGAGGGCATGACACCTACAGTTTGTGTTTGCCAAGTTCTTTAGGACCGTAGAAAGAGAGGACCCAAGAGTTGCAGAAAGATCAGGTTCTACTTTTAGTTGCATTACTCCAGTGCAGTTGTCTTTGTTTTAATTTGAGGCAAACGAGATCAGATTCCAGCTGGTATTATTTACAAACCATGGCCACATAACTTCACGGAAAGAATGAGAATTATTGGGAATATCATAGTTATTTCACTGAAACCTAACAATTTCATTTCTTTATTCACTATTTTCCTTCTGGTAATAGAAATAGGAAAATTGCTGTAGTTTTTCTCCATTTCTCTCTATCTCTTTTTTGAAAAACCATCTAGCTGCCAGTGTGACTCCATATGAGAGAAGACAAAGATAGGGACAGACTATAATAGAGACTGAATTTTCGTTTAACGAAAAAAGAGTATGATTACTAGCTTCAGTAGCTAAACACCATTTGTGAGCCCGAATACCCGATATTGCTTGCTAGAAGAGCAAAGACACAAATTCCAGCATAGCCTCTTGTTCCTCATTATTTTTGTAGTATATCAGATGAAGTCTTATAATTTTACACACTTCCCCGTAACAGAGGCACCAAATCTCTTGTCTTTGCTTCACACACAGTTGTGAGGTGAAGGATAGGTAAGAGAACGTGCCTTTGACTTGCCTTCTTTCCCTCCTTACCGTTAGAGGGGAGAGCACAGCCCTTCTGTTGCGTTACTCACAATCCTCAGGCACCTACAATGGTGACCAAGCTGCAGGTATGCAAGCTTGTATAGGGATCTGAGACCAGGGCAGCGGAAGGGAAGAAGCACCTTCAAGATCCAAGAGTTTTGAGATTTGTTGTGCTTAATCCTCAAGCAGGCAATTAAGCCCCACACAGCTGCTTACTTATTCCCCCCGCCAGGATGGGGGGAGAATCAGAAGAGTAAAAGCGAGAAAACTCAGGTACTGAGATAAAGACAGTTTAATAGGGAAAGCAAAAGCTGCATGCGCAAGCAAAGTAAAACAAAGGAGCCATCCACCACTTCCCATGGGCAGGCAGGTGTTCAGCCATTCCCAGAAAAGCAGGGCACCACCATGTGTAACAGCAGCTTGTAAGGAGAAATGCCATCGCTCCAAATGTCCCCACCTTCCTTCAGTTTTGTGTGCTGAACATGACACCATATGGGATGGAATATCTTTTGGTCAATTAGCCTTCTCTATCCCTGCTGTGCCCCCTCCCTGCCTGCCCCCAAGCCTGCTCACTGGTGGGGTGAGATAAGAAGTAGAAAAGGCGTTGACTCTGTACAAGCACTGCTCATCCATAACAAAAACATCCCTGTATTAACAACACTGTTTCCAGCACAAATGCAAAACCACAGCCCTACACTAGGTACTATGAAGAAAATTAACTCTATCCCAGCTAAAATCAGCAGAAAATTATAGCTTAGAGAGTATTTAAGAGGAAATTCAGATGACATTTAAAATCCATCTCTATTCATCAAGCTGAGCAAATAGGCAAAGTGACAGAATGCAGAATTAGTTTTGTATCTCTTGGATGGCCAACTGTGTAGATTTGGCTGATATTTAAGGACACCATGGCAGAGATACAGAGAAAATACATACTACTTACCCAATAAAAAAATATATGCTGCTGAGAAAAGGCAAAAGGATGCTGGCATGACTAAATATCAACATAAGGGAAAAAGTTACTAAAAGAAAAAAGGTGTCTTTCAGAAAGCACAAACAGCATTAGAAGTATTTGCTAGTTAAATGTAAAACATAATAAAATAGGTGAGAAAGCTAGAGGAACATCTAGCAGAAGGCAGGAATCAAAAGCTAAATCCCTTGTAAAAATCTTTATTAAAGGCATCAAGAGGAGGTAGCCTTCCAGAGAGTGTTATGTGTCAATAGATACCGCAATGAGAAAAGAGCACTCAGAAATGGTAAACATGTAAAAAAACCCCAACCAAAACTTAAATTAGTTTTTCACTCAGAATCACAGAATCACAGAGTCACAGAATTGGTCAGGAAGGGACTACAGTGGGTCAGCTGGTCCGAACTCCCTGCTCAAGCAGAGTCATCCCAGAGCACATGGCACAGAATTGTGTCCAGATAGGTCTTGAATATCTCCAGTGAGGGAGACTCCACAACCCTCTGGGCAATCTGTTCCAGTGCACAGTCACTGCACAGTGAAGAAGTTCTTCCTCATATTCAGGCAGAACTTCCTCTGCATCAGTTTCTGACTATTGCCTCTTTTCCTATTGCTGGGCACCACCAAAAAGAGCCTGCCTCCATCCTCTTGATACCCTCCCTTCAGATACTTATAGACATTGATGAGATCCCCTCTCAGTTTTCTTTTCTAGAGGCTGAACAGGCCCAGATCTCTCAGCCTTTCCTCATAAAGAGATGTTCCAGTACATAATCATCCTTGTTGTTTTCCAATGGACCTGTTCCAGGTGCTCCATGCCTCTCTTGTCCTGAGGAGCCCAGAGCTGGACACAGCACTCCTGATATGGCCTCACCACGTCTGAGCAGAGGGGCAGGATCACCTCTCTCGACCTGCTGGCAATGCTCTTCCTAATACACCCCAGGATACCATCAGCCTGGCCACCAGGAAACACTGCTGGCTCATGGACAGCTTGTTCTCCACCAGGACCCTGAGTTTCTTCTCCGCAGAGCTGCTTTTCAGCAGGTCAACCCCACTGTTCTGGTGCCTGGGGTTATTCCTCTCCAGGTGCAGGACCCTACATTTGCCCTTGTTGAATTTCAGAAGATTCCTGTCTGCCCATCTCTCCAACCTGTCAAGATCCTTCTGAAGAGCTGCACAGCACTCTGGGGGTATCAACCACTCCTCCCAAGATTGTATCATCAGCAAAGCTGCTGAGAAGGCATCTATCCCTTCATCCCAGTCACTGATGAACAAGTTAAACAGTACCTGAACTAGATAACTGGAGTAGGTAGCCACATGTTTAAAGATCCCTTGCACTTTGGGAGTCAAAGTTCCCAGATATTACTGTAACATTATAATGGGCTGTATGGAGATCTAGGAGAACTATAATCTTCTAATCCTGGTATCTGCAACACGTAGATTAGTAGAGAACTGTAATAAAGAATGATTCCAGAATACTTGGATAAACGTGTGGAGAGCATTAACTGTGTAGAAGCATTAACAAAATCTGCACAGTCTTATCTACATGCACCTTGAAGAGATGCTCTTTGAACTGCCTTGCTACAGAGTCTGAATAAAAACAAAATTCTTTTGAGGGATAAATAGGTAAGAAAGAAGCTGGATGAGAACAATCAGTAGCGGTTTTATAAATGACTGTATCCCTCTCGTAATCTGGTAACACTTGCAAAAATACGATGAAGAATGTGACCAGGCTGGTGAGAAATATGAGATGGCTTACATTCCAGGAATTTCTCATTAAACTGAAGACTCTCCAGCTGAGGAGAAAGAGTGCTGACATGAAGTAATATAAAGGTGTGTTAGATGATAGTAGCTTGGAGATGACAAGTAAATTGGAGATGACAAGCAAACTGAATTCCAGAATCTTTTAGTATAGAAGAGTGCCCTCAAATTAAGTTAATAGAAGCTAGGTTCAAGAGATACAATGATGATGAGGCTCCTCACACACCATACTAGTGACCTGAGGAGATCCTTAATTCGCAGGGGTTTTGTGAGTGCCAGAAGACTTAGGGCAGACAAGACATGATTGCAGGAGATAAATACTCTGATAATTCTTAAATATGTTTGGCTCATGCTGAGCTGCAAGTTGTTAAAATCTGGGTGAATGCTATTCAAAAGGATCACTATTTGGTTACCCTACTTTTATTTACTTTTAGGCATCTGCTTGGATTCCTGTTCTAGACTGAGTATTGGACTTAACAACCTGACCCAATATAACTATGTTCAGTCTTTTTTCCTACAGTTTGTAGCTGGCTGCTTCCAATGGTAACTGTTCCAGAAATCACTTATCCTACCTTGCTCATACGTAATACTGGACTTCAGATTCATCTTTCAGACTTTTTTATGATCTAATGTGGCAAGCAAGGAACAAGCAGAACTCTGGCATTGCACCCTGTGCCCTTCTCTCCATAGCAGCCTTAGTTTAGTGACCATGGAGAAGGAATTGTAACTCCAAGTTTATTGTTTCCTAATCACTAAGGTCTGTTTGTCAGCCTTGTCTCTTACATCTGTATAATACATCACCTAATTAAGTAATAACTCTGCTCACATGCTAAGCGTGCATGGCCCTTAGTGTCACTCATCCAGTCTGTGGTAAATGTTGCATTACGATCTTTTCGGATCTCTGTCCTTGATGAACAGCACCACTTCCACAGCTGAAACAAGTGAGATCAAAGGTGTCCTGTTGTGATTAACCAAGGCCCTGTAGCCTGATTCACTTATTCCCACAAAAACACTAGCTCAATTAGCTTTAAGCAGCAGTCTATATAGGCATTTATCTTCTCCAGATAATCTATATGCTTTCCAAGCTATCTGTTGGTTATCACCTAATTGTATCACATCTGAGGTAGTCAAATTTGCTGGTTTTTTCACACATCCATAAGTAAGTGATATACTGCTTTGAATGCCAGCTTTCACCTTTTCAATGCAACTCAGCCTGATCTTTATAGCACTGCTTTCATCTGAACAGCAGTAAATGGACAGATATCACTGAACAAGCCTAAAATGTTTACTGTGAATTACCAATCAGATAAAAATGGTAGGTTGTACTATGAGGCCTGCTGGTGCCATCCATAGGAAATTGGTCAGAAAAACTAATTCCCACAACATGAGGATTAACTGTGTTTTAAAATTTAGTGACATTGGGAGAATATTCATACTGATGTGTTCATCCCTCTCACAGCTCAAATATGTTGCAGATTTGGAAAAAATATTCTGCCACTATTATTTGCCAAAAGTTTTTTGAAATTCTTCCAAAGTGTTTCAAGTGGGAACATTTTTTTCTGTTTTTAACACTAATGTAAATGGTATTATAACTCCTAAGCAATTGCATCAGTATAATATAAAGTCATCCATGTGCTAAGAGCTCCTTGTTTTGTTCCTTTATCTTCTGGTTATGTTTCAACCATCAGGTTACTCAAAGGGTGTCTTCCATATCATGGTGAAGCCGGTATGCTTTTAGTAAAATGCTTACATATTTGCTGCTCAAAAATGTGGAAGAAAATTGAGCTGCTGGTTAGAAAATTCATGAAGGACATGGTACATCTGTATCATGCGCCAATAAGTGTTTAATTTTTTTCACAATAGTATCATTAGGAAGATATTATATAATGAATCTGTCTTGGAAAAGCAAATGTGTCAATGTTGAACACAAACGGCATTTGACATCAAATCAAACTAGGAGACAGTGCTCTACAGGGACTGTCTGTCACTTGGACTTGTCCATAGCAGCATTGCACACACCCCATCTGAAGAGCCTAGCTATGGTCACCCTGCAGCCAAATCAGTGAACAGGCTGTAACAGTGCAATATACAAGTGGTAAAATAAAATATAAAAGGATGTGATAAGACCAGTCATGAGGATTCAGATTACTATCACTGATAAAAGGTCTTTTAACATTATTATTATATTTGTGGATCAAGAATGCTGTATAAATCGTAACTAACTCTGCGTGGATGCAGGCATCCGTGTGGAAGGAAAGATCACAATTAACAAGGGTATCCTCTAACATTCTGAGGTTAATCTCTTTGAGGTGGATTGGAGGCCACAGTGGTTGTGTTAATGATCCTTGTAATGTGTAGCATTGCTCACTGTCTTTGCCCCAGTCTTCAATAATTACACCAGATATCCTCAGGCTACCCAGCCCCCCGAGCTGCAAGACAGAGATGGGAAGCAGAAGAAAAGCACACATAATCCAAGGGAAAACGCTCAATGACCTGCTATGCCACTTAGACACACACAGGTCTACAGGGCCAGATGGGATTCACCCAAAAGTTACTGAAGGAGACAGTGAAAGTGCTCCCAAGACACTTTCCATTATTTATCAGCAGTCCTGGCTAACTGGGAAGGTCTTAAGTGATGAGAGGTTGGCAAATGTGATGCCTACTTACTAGAAGTGCTGGAAGGAGGATCTGGGGAACTACAGGCCTGTCAACAAGGTCTTGATGCTGGGAAAGGTCATGAAGGAGGGCATTTTGCGTGCCATCATGTGGCATGTGCAGGACAACCAGGGAATAATGTCCAGCCACCATGGGTTTATGAAAAGTAAGTCCTGCTTGACCAACCTGATCTGGTTATAAACAGCTTTTGGAGAGTCCCTTCAAAAGCAATTTACCACATTGCAGATTACATGCCTAATCTGATTCCCCTGTGACTGGTAGCTGGTGTACCGTTGGTGCTGTGGGCTCCAAGTCTCCTCTTCTTGGTTAACAAATTAGTTCACTGGTTCCTGTTTCCATCCCATTTTATCCAGCCCTCATTTTTCCTCTCCTTTCCCTCTCCACTTAACAAGCTAATGTATATTACTGTTCTTATTTTCAACAAGAGTTCCTTCTGTCAGTAAACTGAGGAACTCAGGCTCTGGGACCAATTTCTGGCAACTCACCTAGATTTATTTTGTAATTTTCCTGGGAAAAGTAGTCTTCTGAATGACAGGGCAGAATTTTAAACAATCTTCTGGATTCAGAAGTTGGAAAGGCTCATATTACATCACTCATCATACTCCGTGCTGTCACTGTAAAGTCATGACGGCCAATAAAGCCACAAGCAGTCTAGTTGTGTGTAGAATACATGCCTCTCTTTATTTTCTCATCTGCTGTTTTTATATCCTTTGCTAGCAGCAAGCAGCAACCTTAGCAAGCAACAGCGTTTTAATTGGCTATGATTTATTGCTGATACATTTGGCAAAGCTCAAGGCCTTTTTGTGGTTCCCACATCCTGGGCCTACTGACTCTACTGTCTGTCTTTGTTCCTCCATTAGGGCTGCATACTGGCTTCCTTATCTTCAAGGATACACCCCAAATTTGTCAAGTCAATATCTTCATCCAGGGAGGTAATAGACCCGCTACCAACCCCTATAATTCCCTGTGGGAGCCCAAACCCAGCTTTCAGCAAAAGGAAAACAAAGGCTGACAAGAACCCGTGATCTGAAGGAGCTAGACCTGTTAAAGTTCTACCTTATGGATTAAGCCTGGCTCCAGCAGAAATCAGAAAGGACTTTTTGAGATGATTGTATCAGACCATGTCTAAACCCCTGTAATCCCTCTATCCCTCATGTAATCCTACTAGGGGAAAAATTAACTATTTGGAAACTGCAGTAAAAACTTGTGTAACTACCCAATTACCATAGCCTGTCCCCTTCATTAACATGTCCAGCCAGAGATGCCTTTAAATTGTGTTCTCGTGTCCAATAAAGTATTCCAGTTTCCCCAACTGGGATCGTTTCTAGCTTTTATTTTTCAGACTGCCACTATTCCCCCTCTCTGTAATTGTGCCAGAAAAATTGCCTGTGTCATTCTTTGCAGGGCCCTTTGCAAACACGACACAAAACATGGCAACATTACAAGCACGACCATGACTATCACCAAAACTAAGACCCCCGTCTTGAGCAAGGACAGTAACCAACCTGAAATGCCCCAACTAGACAACCAGCCTTCCAGGCCAAAAAACCCAGTTTCCTGTTTGATCTTGTTTGTCTGTTCCTGAAGTGTGGCAATTTGTTTGTAAATGGATTCAGAGTGATCAGAAATATTTAAACAACACATGCCTTCAAATTCCTGACAACCATGTCCGTGTGTGAGTAGCAAAAAATCAATGGCAGCGCGATTCTGCAGCATAGCATGCTGTACACTATCTACATTGGTGCCAAGTTTGTATAAAGTATCTGAGGTCAAATTTGGTTGTTTGGTTATCCAGCACACCAAGGCACTGATTTGCTTTAACACTTTTGCTGAGGCAACTCGTGGCAAAAAAAGAAGTAGATACAATAGATGCCTGACCCCACAAAGTTAACGTGTTCTGACATGTAGAGTCAAGGGCCAGTGACCATTTGATCAAAACACGACTGTAGAGATGGAAATGATTCAATAAAAGCTTTTCTGTGTAGGCAAGCAAACCTAGTTTACCAAAGGTACAGGGTCCCCCAAAGGACAGTGCCGGAATACCTGGCCATGCCCAATTGCCACAAATCAAAAAGTATCCTTTTGGAAGTTGACGAGCAACTGTTACACCGGGTGAGGGTGGCTTACGTGTGTATAAACACCAAGCAGATGCATTCTGGTAAAAAGGCATATCCGGAGACAGGTCTCGCGAAAGGGTTTCTGTGACAGCAGAAGCATCATGACCCTTACAGTACTTAGTGTTGTGCCTGTATAATCAAAATAAAAGCAAGCAGCAGCAGTTAAGGTACCAAAAATATCTAACTCCTGTGGTGCAATGCCTTCTGATAGCTTAACAAGCCAATCATTTACATTTGCAATGCAGCTCTGCGCAGAAGCATTACAAGCCTTTGTTGCCAAATCGGGTAAGTGTGTGACATTAGAAACAAGTTTCACTACATCAGAGTTATTTACAGTTGCCCCAATAAGGCACATATGAAAAGGCAGCTCTGGTTTCACCAAAGAGGCACAGAAGGTGGTTTGGTTCAGTGCTTTCATCAGGGTCACCCAGACGTTGTGGCTGTTCCACGAATTGAGTCGTTTGAGCTGTTCTGTGTAGGAGTCCTCACTGCTGGTTCCCCCGAGACAAAACAGGATGCACACACCGAGCAGGAACCCACCACGGTCCAGCATCTGTAGAAACACAAGCATAACCCCCACCCCACATTATCAGTTGATGAGGGCCGGACCACTGTCCGGAAATCAGGTCCTGTACCTGAACGGGAGCAGGAGCAGTCATAGGTTGAGATGACATTAATCAGGAAAAATGCAAAAAGAGAGCAGGAAAATGAGAATTCAGGGGAAAAGTAAAAAAATTTAAAACATAAACAGCTTTGTCTAAACGGGCTTGAGGGGGAGCACCCTGCATTTCCCTTTCTGTTTTTGAAGCAGGCGCCTCAGAGAGCTATGCACGCATTCCACAATAGCTTGACCAGTAGGAGAGTGAGGGATGCCAGTAACATGAGACACTTCCCAATCACTCAAAAAGGTTTGAAATTTCTGAGCACTATAGGCAGGGCCATTGTCAGTCTTTACTTCTGATGGGACACCAAGGGTAGCAAAAGCTCATTGAAAATGACGAATCACATCAAGAACACGCTCACTTGCATGAGCAGTAGCACAAACAGCATGAGAATATGTATCAACAGAAACATGCACATACTTGAGACGTCCAAATTCAGGAATATGAGTAACATCAGTTTGCCATACCTATAAAGCTTGCATTCCTCTAGGGTTGGTCCCATAAAAGACAGGGACATTCTGACCCTGACAATCTGGACAGGCAGCCATAATAGAATGAGCAAGAGATTGCGGAATACCAAATTGTCGCTTGAGGGCAGTACTGCCTTGGTGAAAAAATCAATGTGAGAGGAAAGCTTTTTGTCACTTATCTGGAACAGGACCAAGCTGTGCAGCAGCTACAAGAGCGTCTGCTCGAGCATTACCCTCTGTAAAAAATCCAGGTAATGAGATGTGACTGCAAATATGAAAAACAAAGTAAGGGGTAGTACGAGACTGTAGGGTACGCCAAAGTGTTAACAAACCCTGAAAAAGAAGACGATCATCACAAGCAGAAAGAACTACTTGATCCAAATGCTGTACAAATCCCTCTACATAAGCAGAATCTGTAACAAGATTAAAAGGCTGAGGGAAAAGTTGAAAGGCCAGGATAGCAGTATGGGGTTCCACGACTTGTGGAGACATGGATTGTTGAACAAGTTCATGTTGCCATCCTGTGGGTGTATACCAAACCACAGCAGCTTTTCCCGTTTTGCTAGAACCATCAGTAAAAACACTGAGTCCATCCACTGGTTCTGTAGATGACAGCAGTTTTTGTCCAACAGGTGCTTTGCTAAAAAAATTCAGTAAAGGGTGTGAGGGCAAGTGATAAGCAATTTGTCCCCGAAAATCTGCCATGGCAGCTTGTAACTCATGATTCAAACACCACTCAAAATACCAGGACTGTACAGGCAAAACAATACGACCAGGGTCTCTACCACTCAATTCAATGCACCATTTTCGTGCTTTCATAATAATGTCAGCAAGCAATTCAAACAGGCCAGGAGCTGTTTTATGAGATCTTGAGGGTAAAAACAATGACTCAAGAATGTGTAGGGGATCATCCCAAGCCTCATTCCACTGAACAAGAATCCCACAGGGGGAGACTTCATCTATGAGAACAAAAAGCTGAATAATTAGAGACAGATCAATGGGAGAAACAAAGTGTTCTGTTAACAATGTTTCTACCTGCCAAATAATTTGAATTGCTCTCTGTGTTAAGGATCGTGGTTCCATTGGGTCAGTGGAATTTTTGAGCAGTGCAAAAAGAGGTTGCAGTTGCGAATAATCAATCCCAAATAAGGGCGAATCCAATTTAATGAACCTGCTAATTTCTGAACATCAGTTAGGGTATTGATAGGCATTTCTAATTGAACAGGCTGAGGGATTACTGGTTTTGCAGTAACGAGAAAACCCAATGTTTCTTTTTGCTCAGCGGCGAACAGAATATCATCCACATAGTGGTAACAGTAACAATTTGGGAACTGAATTCTCACAGGAGATAAAGCCTGTGCAACAAACCACTGACAAACGGCAGGCGAGTTTTTAATTCCTTGAGGCAAACCTTTCCATTCATATAATTTAGAAGGCACTGCATGATTAACAGAGGGCACTGTGAAAGCAAATTTTTCCTTGTCAGCTTCAACTAGAGGAATAGTGAAAAAACAATCTTTCAAATCAATCACTATAATTGGCCAATCGAGGGGTATCATTGTGGGTGAGGGGAGCCCTGGCTGCAGAGCTCCCATCATTGCCATGATAGCATTGACCTGCCACAAATCATGTAACAGCCTCCATTTATCAGATTTCTTTTTCATGACAAACACAGGAGTGTTCCAGGGGCTGTATGATGGCTCAATGTGGTCAGCAGCCAACTGTTCTTGTTCAAGGTCTTTGGACAGGGGCCACTGTTAAAGCCACACTGGAGTGTCTGTTAACCATGTCAGTGCCAATGTGGGCTGCTTAACGCCCTGCAACACAGTGGCCCCCGTTAAAAATCCATGGTGATTTTAACTCCCCATTGAGCCAAACAATCTCTTCCCCACAGAGTCAGGGGGGCAGGAGTGACATATGGTCTTACAGTTGCCACTTGCCCTTCTGGATTACAAATCAGAATGAAATGAGCTGCAATACAACTTTGGGTAGTTCCCCCCAACCCCATAACACCTGAATCGGAGGACACCGGGGCCAAGAGCTCAGCCAGCTGTACAAAGAAATGATTGTTACATCAGCACCTGTATCAAGCAAACCACTGACCTTAACAGCAGAAGGCAAGCCTTTTCCATTGCACAGTTCACAAACCATCTGTGGACATTTGTGGGAGACAGTCTGTGACCAAAATACTTGTGGAGGTCCTGTAGATCCAAATCCTCCAGCATGTCTCTCCTGGTCCTCTGTCCTGGGAACATAGTTCACAAAAGGCACAAGTTGAACAATATGAGTTCCTTTTGGAATAGTCACAGGAGGATAGGAGATTGACACCATGGCACAAATTTGTCCCGTATAGTCTGAATCGATCACTCCTACATGTACAATTCTCCCAGCAATTGTGCTACTTGAGTGCCCTATCAATAAAGCACTCAGTCCTTGACTGATAGGTCCCTTAGCGTCTAAGGGGACTGTCATGGTTTGACAGCTCCAAAATCCAATTCCCGAGTCCTAGCCCCCCTCCCACATCTCAACCCAGTGTGAGATGGGTTTTCCAGACACCACACGAGACTCAAAATGGGGGGAAAGGTATATATTACAGTGACTGTACACATAAATAAATAGTATAATACACTACATACACAATTTCAACTACCTCTACCATGACATACAATATTTACAATGGATCAAATCTCTTCTCCCTTCCAAATAAAAGTCCAGGAGGGAAGAAGAAAAAAGACCCCTTCCAGTCTCTGAGCAGCAGTCCACTAGGGCAGCAGGTTCTCTGTGTCCTTCATGAAGCAGCAGTTGTTGGATCTTTGCCAATACACGCGAGGGAGGCCTCCAAGCCTCTCTCGGCCCCCCGACGCAAATGAAGGGTCTTTCCGTGGGCTGCGTTACCCCAGACAAAGGTCGCTCCACCACGGTCATGTCGACAAAGTGCAGAAGCCTTCGTGACGGTCTGGTGTCTTCAGGGGATTCAAGCCCCTTGCAGAGCTTCTGTGCTCTGCCTCAAGATGGCTGCTAGCTTCTCTGAAGCTGCAGCGAGGGGAGGGCCAAGGTCATCCCCTCCACATTCCATTGGCCGTCCTGGCTCAGCTCTCAGGATGCCTGAGCTTCTTAGCTCCTCTCTCAGCAGTGCTGTAGCACTCTGAGACTCTTCCATCTCCCTCCTCCTAGGAGGGGTCTCCAAGGGAGTTTGGGAGTTTTGGTTTTTCAGTTCTTACCCAAACTCTGTCCATAGAGATTAGTTCTGCTCTCTCTCTCTCTCTCTCTCCATCAGAGATCTCTGTGTCTTCCTGCTCAGCGGCTCTGCTGCTTCTTCTTATCTGCTTGGCTCTTTGCCACTGCTCCCGGACACTGCTGTCTCTGCTGCTGCTCCGTCTGCCCACTCACGGTGGAGAAAACTCCTTCAGCTTTCTAGCTACAGGTACATAGCCCAGTTTAACACTGTTCCAAGTGCCTGCAGCCCCCAGTGGGGGACCTTAACAATATCTGTAGAAGAAATTGTTACTGTGTCGGAGGTGGATACATCCATGCTGGCTGATTCGCTGGTCTTCCCGGTAAGCTGGTCGCAGAGGGGAATGCCAGGGGAGCTGCATATGGGCTGTGCTGTGGCAATGAAGGTACTTGCGTCCAGGCACGCCTTGTTGCCACACTCGCCTTCCCGTTTCCCTGCAGGGGCTGACCACTGGCATGATATTTGGATCGACATTGTTTAGCAAAGTGCCCAGGCTTACCACAGCGATTACAATGAATTCCAGGGGGATTAGATAAGACTTTTTGATTTCCCCCATTGCCTTTGGCAGGGTAGTTAGCTTTCAGATGTCCCTCTTTGTTACAATTGTAACAGCGAGAAGCAGGTACAACACTGCTGCAAGAGCAGTCATTTTATGCTCTACAGTACCTACTTTTGAACATGCTGAGACCACATCAGCAACAGACAGGTCTCCCGGCAATGCTTCTATAATTTTCTGACAATCTTGGTTTGCATTATCTTTTGCTAACTGCTTCAGGAGTGTTTGACGCAGAGTCTTGTCATCTACTTGTTTTTCTAACGAGACTACAGTGCACTCAACAAATTGTAAAAATGGTTCTTTCGCTCCTTGTTTCACTGTCGTATATTTGGGACCAGGGGAAGCAAGCTCCATATTTTTAATCAGAGCTAACATTCCCACCTTCTGACATTGTTGTAACACAGCAGGATCCCACTGGGCTTGTAACTCAGGATTACCAAAGTAATTTTTTTCCCATCAAAACCTCAACTCCTACTGCCAGTCTCGGATCCCCTGCAGGAAGTCTCATATTTTCCATGGCTGTACGTTCTGCCTGTTTCTGCCAATCAGAGTTAAACACTTGGTATTGTACAGGTTCAAATAAAACTTGAGCTAGATGATCAATGTCATAAGGAGCTAACAAATCAGCATTAATTGCACAAATCACATGCATAACTTCAGAAGAATTAACACCATATTTTGTAACATACTGTAGTGGTTTGAACCAGGTTTCCCCCTGAAGCTGAAAGTGGTAACCCCCAGGGGGTGGTGACCCTTGGGGCTTGACCCAATCAGTGCTCCTGCAAAATATAAACATATCTCTGGAGACCGGAAGAGAAGCAGTGGTACTTGTTGGGAGAAGAAGAGGTGGCCATGTTGTAGAGGCCACGAGGAGAAGGGGCTCCGGCCCCTTGGGGGCCTCTGCCCCCCCCAGCCCTGGTTGGGGGGCTGCAGGGACTCAGAACTAAACTAAGTGCCTGTGTCTGAGATGCCGAAGGAGTTTTCTCCACTGCGAGTGGGTGACGGAGCAGCAGGGACAGCAGCGTCTGAAGAGCAGTGGCAAAGAGCCAACTGATAAGGACCAAAAGGAGCAACACAAGCCGGTATGCAGCTAAGGCAGACACAGAGGTGTCTGAGGAGAAGGAAAAGCAGCAACAGGACAAGAGAACCAAGCCAGCAGCAGGAACAGAGTTTCACGGGGTAAGAACTGGATAAACCAAAACCCCCAAACTCGCTAGAGACCCCTCCGAGAAAAAGGAGGGGGTGGTGGACTAAGAGGAGTCCTAAAATGCAGTATGCACTGCTGAGAGGAGCTAGGAAGCTCATGGCCTCCTGAGAGCTCAGCCAGGATGGCCAAAGGAATGTGTGTGGAGGGGGTGACCTTGGGCTTTCCCCCCCCCTCCTTGCTGCAGCTTCAGAGAAGCTGGCAGCCATCTTTGAGGCAGAGCATGGGAGCTCTGCACAGGGGCTTGATTTCCCCTGAAGATACCAGACTGTCACGAAGACCCCCGTGCTTCGTGATATGACCGTGGTGGAACGACCTTGTCTGGGGTTACGTAGTCCACGGAAAGACCCCCGTTTGAAGACGGAGGGCTGAGGGGCTTGGAGACCCCCTCGTGTGTGCTGGCAGAGAGCCAGCAACTGCTTCTGCTGCCTGGAAGAGAAGAAGAGAGCCTGCTGCCTAGAGAGAGCCTGCTGCTGACAGACTGGAAGGGGTCTTTTCTTCTTCTTCTCTCCTGGACTTTTATTTGGAGGGAAAAGAGATTGAGCCCATTGTAAATATTATTGTCATGGTAGAGATAGATATAGAGTTAAGATTGTATGCAGTGTATTATAGTATTTATTTATGTGTATAGTCTTTGTAATATATTCCTTCCCCCATACTGAGTCTCGTGTTTTTGTCTGGAAAACCCATCTCACATGGGGTTGAGATGTGGGTGGGGGGCTAGGAATTAGAATTAGATTTTGAGCCTGCTCAAACCATGACACATACATCTGCAAATCCTGAATAGCCTTCCAAGCAAATACATGATGTTTATCTTGATTGCCAGAATTAGGGACAGCTTTCAACACAATAAGCTTCTGCTCCTGGTTTTACTCCTGGAGCAAATACACCTTTGTCCACTGTTTTTGAGGGATGCCTGATCTTTTCTAACAGCTCCCAATCCCCCTGTTCTTCAGTACACGCATGCTCTCCCAAAATCTCCTAGGATGACATGGCATCACTGTGAGAGTTACTGGTGGCAAAGTCCATGGATCAGCCAGTGTTCATGTCTTACGGCCCTGGGACCCCCCAAGTATGGGTTGAGAGGCTTGACTACAGACGGAGGCATTTTCAGCATCCTCCATGTCTACCTCACCTGCTGGGGGGGCTGATGCCGATTGATACAAGCCTTTACTGGGTATGTCTTCCTCATTGTTTTCATCAGTGTCCTCATCCTCCTCCTCCTCTGGCAAAGGAACAGAGGATGCAAGCCTTTGCTTAGCTTTAAATTCCTCTACAAGTTCCATAGGTGTCTTATAATGGCAAGGGACTATATCAGTAGGTGATTTGTATTTACGAGGAGTCTGAAGTAGCTCATGGGGTGAAGGATAGTGAACCTTCAGACCTTTTGGAGCTTTTGGAGCCAGACCCTTGGTAGACTTTTTAGAAGGTGGATCCAGACACCACACTGTTTTCATTTTATCTGCTAAAGCACCCAATTAATCATCAGAGGGGGAGGTATCAGTCGGTGGTACTGCAGCGGCTGAAGCTCCCTCCTCCCCTGCATGTCCTTCTGTATCTGACACAGGCTCCGTTTCAGGCAACTGAGCACCTTCCAAAACTTGTTCGTTAAGCCAGTCTTTTAAAGTCTTAACCAATAGATGCCAGGTGGTAGGCAAACCTTCTACATCCTTAGCACCCTTATAGATCTCTTTCCACAATTTATCTCTCACCTTCTCCCAGGTCTTTACACTAAATGCAACTGATGTGTTAGCTTCAAAGCCTTGCTTTCAGCACCGGAGTAGCAAATGTTGCAAAGCACAATCTTCAACAGTTACACCTTTACACTTTAAAAGATGCTTCCAGGAGGATAGCACCAACTTTTCCTCTTTAGAAATCTGATTCTCCATTATCACAGACCCTTTTCTTGGTGGCTCACCTTTTCCAGGTGTTAATAGCTCTCAGGTCCGGATCAGGCAGTGTCCCTGCTGCTCTCAGCTATGCCATCACCCGGTGGTTGCTTGCAGTATCATGTCGAGGGTCACCATATGTCACTGTAAAGTCATGACGGCCAGTGAAGACACAAGCAGTCTAGTTGTGTACAGAATACGTCTCAACAGAGACACCATGCTCTGAATTTTATTTTCTTAATTTACTGTAATCTGGCTATATTCAAATGTCATTGTTAAGATTCCAGATAATTTTATTGCCAATTTAATTTTATTGTCTTTTTGTTCCCCCTCGAAGCGTAATTCTACCTCAATGCCTTCTAGCGAGAGATGACAGACTATCAATACATGATTTTTTTGCACAACATTTAATGTCAGATCAATTTTCATTTATCTCTAAACTGATCTTCTTTTTGTCATTAACTGAATGTTATTTTTACTAGTGATTCACCACTAACAAAGAATGTCCATATTTGCAGTTGCAGTTAATTCTAGACCCACTGTCAGCATTTTGCCAGACTATTTGTTTAATCTGCTCTAGTTTATTTAATGTATTACTTAGATGAAGCAAACAAACCTTTGCTCTGTTTTTCCAACTCATCAGTGTTCCATTCATTTTAATATATATGAATAAGTTGTGAATGCACTTGCATTTTATATTGTAATATAGGAAATTCTGATTATAAAAACATAAAATACTGTTTTCATGCTATTGTCTACATATAAAAAGAAATAAGTTTGCCTATTTTTGTCATGCTCTTAGCAGGTAGGTTTAGAACTGATCAAATTCACTATTTGCTACTGTTTCACACAAAGCGTAGAGAACTTAGTATTCAGACACAGCCATGCTGAGCATCAGTTAATGACTTAATTGACAATTAGTGTCAGAAAGAAGGTAATATACTTCCTGAGAAAGAATATGAGGAAAACATTATTTATAAGATGTTCTGTATTTAGAAGATACAGAAATAAATTTTAGGAAGTAAGGAAGGATAGTGCGAAAAGAAAGTACGATTAGGTAGAGAAGAAAGCACAGAACAATAATGGGCAGTCTTTTACTATCAGTGTGTATAAATAATGTAGTAGTCTGGAACTAACATTTGGTTCATCCAGGCTATGTTGACACAAGGCCCTAGTACTTTTTGCCTACATGATCACTACAGATTCACTCTGAGCAATCACTCTCAGACCCCTTTTTCTTGGCTGCTGGAGAATGTTTGGCAGCATCTTGAGATTGCAGTGATGTCTTATGCAGGCCTGTGGCCCCTTATGTATCATACTTTGGTGGCATCTTTCTGTTCCCGTGAAATGACAATGTGATGGGCATGCTTTGTTATCATTTACATGTCTTTTGCATCAAAAGAAATTGTATTCAATTGACCACATCAGTCATCTAAGAACTGACAGAACAAATCAATTCGTTCCAGATAAGAGGAGTGTGAGAGGTACTGATCAAATATTTGTAGTCTAAAGGAGCTTATTCCAGGATTATTTTACAATCATTCATGTGAAAATTTCTATCAGTCATCCCTTAGTTCAATATTTAACTAGAATTCAAGGATCTTCTACCATGCTTACTGAATGTAACTCTATGGCATGAGGTTGTAGCTTTGTGCTAGAAGTCTTTACACACAGCAAGAAGTCAAAATGTGTAATTTCTGGCTGCAATAAAGGCTGACAAATGAGCTGGTACAACTAAGAAAGGCACAACATGAGCAGAGCTGTTGCTTGCCTATTGTATACCAAGGAATTTCCCCAGTGCTTATATTTACAGAACATTCAAGCACAGTAAATATGTTAATTTTTTATTCTAGCATTGGCTGTGGAGCATGCATTGGTGTGGGATTGTTGGGGACCACTCACAACTGGAGCTTCTTTTCACACCTCAGTGGCTTCAGAGTGAGGGCCTGTCAGTCTAGGTGGGTATTTGACAGGGAAGACTATTGGGTCTTTCCTTCATGGAACCAAAGATGTTCACTGACAGACTGAAGGATTTGTGGTAATATTGTGCTCCATCATGAGTCTTGAGTTTTTCTCTGCTGTGGATAACTGGGGAGTCCAGAATAGTCAAAGAATCAGCTTTTGCTAGAATCCACCACTTAATATTGAACCACCTCTTCTGATTTATCCCATAAAAGGGCAGTGATTGAAGTTCTTATTGTTCCATCTCACTGACTTTTATAAGCCTGTGATTAGACTGTGCACAAATACACAACCTCAGTTCTCTAGAATTTCAGCTTTCTGTCCATAGGTGAATGAGCCTTCTGTGAGTGCCTTTTATTGCCTGATATTCTACATGATTTCATAATCAGCACTTCTTTCATTGATTGTTAGTGCTTTAAATTGAAAAAATGTAAGTATAAATCTTCCATTCACTGAATTTTTGTGAAATTGAAATCTACTTCTTACAATAATATTCCTTTGACCGGATGATCAGCTACACAGCAAAAAAAAAAAAAAAACAAACCCAAAAAACTCTCAAACCAAACCAAAACCCCTCAAAACTCACCAAACAACACCCCCCTCCAAAAAAAAAAAAAAAAAAAGGGTGCCCAGTAAATCTGTGTTACCTGTTCATTCTCCTATAACTAAGTCTTATTACCTAAGTATGCATCCTGCCAAGGTTTCAGCTGGGAACAGACTTGTCTTTAACATTTCTTGCCTTAGTTAGAGAGGGCAAGACTACTAGCAGGGTAAGGAGGCAAGAACTGGCTTAAGATTTTTACAAGAAAAATCACTTGTATCTATATATATCCCAGTTTTCCAATTACTTTCCCTTACAGGAGGCCACTCCCCCTTACATTTGGCAGCAGAACAAGGTTACTGTTTTCAGATATGCCTCACTTTAACTTCCTAAAATAGTAGTTTAAAACATGCAATAACTCATTTTATAGGGCTAAATAAATTAAGATATTATTTTAACAGTTGCAATAATATATTTTTATAAGAGCGGTAAGATTGGAAAACCAAGTGCTGAAAAAATTTGAAAGAACCAAAAATTCGAGTTATTTGGTCAATGTCATCTTAGCAGCAGAGTATATTCTGTGGGGTTTCTGATAAACTTATATTTAAATTTAACCTTCTTACTTGACAATAAGGAGAAGTTTTAAATATTTGGTTTTGTCATCTTATTCCCAAATACTAGCAAGCTATTGCTGAAGGAGCAAAAATCATGACTAGAATATCTTTATTTCCAAAGGTGGATTTCCAAAAATGGATTTGGTTTTGTAATAAGTGGTTATTGTATAGTTTTGTTCCAGGTTTCTTCTCTACACTGTTAAAGTTAAATCATTCATAGAATGAAAATTAATTAGGAATGTCCATATTGAAAAAAATATTCAAAAGGAACTTGTTTTCTTTTAGGTGAGTCATATAGCATGAGCCAATTCATGTAATATGAACCTATAATTAAAGAAATGCATTACAAAAAATAAAAGCTGATAGATGTCCAGGTGATCCAAACAAAGTGACCTGAGGTGAGCAACTGAATTCAGTACAATAGTTTCATAAATGGTAAAACTGTCCTACAGATAAAGCTGTTTAGTGTGCACATGTGCATTCTGGCATATTACTAACACTGCTTAACTTTTACCAAGATTCTGTTATAACTTTGATCCTTAGAGATTAAAAACAGTGTCATTAGTCTTCTGACATGTAGCGAGGGGTGTAATTTTGTGCAATTGCCATTGTGTGAGTCAAAGGTTTAAAGAAGCTGAGATATTGAACTTTGCACACAGTTGCAGCTGTTTCCCAGCCTTGAAGTTGCAGTTTGTCAAGAGAGTAATTGGGACACTGGCCTTTTTACAGAAGCAGCATGCCTCCATGGCAGGAAATAATAACTGTAGAAATCACAGAATCACAGAATATTCTGAGTTGGAAGGGATCCACAAGGATCATCAAGTCCAACTCTTAAGTGCATGGCCCATGAGATGATCAAACTCGCAACCTTGGCCTTATTAGCACCATACTCTAACCAGAATTTTCTGCTAGATCTGAGGCTTTGACATGGATACTGACTGCATATTGTTAAATAAAACCGTGAAGGAGCAAAACTGAGCACTGGACCACTCCTAGTCCCCATTGCTTAGTCATTAGCAAACAGTCTACTACAGTTATGACTGTGCCGACCAGTCTTTGACTGTCCTGTCTGTCCACTAACCTATACCAACTGACCTAGGCACAGCTAAAGGGATAGCATGCACAGTCACTAGGCAGTATGGAAATTGCCCTCTGACCGCCATTCCTGAATCTTTAGATACTCATGTCCTCTCATACCACACTCCTGGGCATTCAGCACATACTCTCAACTTCCGGCTCCTGTTATGATAACACCACTCTGACAAGTTGCAAAACAGCCCTTATTCCTTGGAATATTGAAATAATATTATAGTAGTATCTCAGGATACCACATATGACTTCAAAGAACCGTATGGACAGGTATGTGCCTCCTATCGCAGGGTCAGGATATGGTTCCTTTTGACCAAAAGGAACCATATCCTGACCATATACAATCAGCATTTCATCAGTCC